AGAGCGGGGACAGCCGGCCTGTCTTGGAGCACATTGAGACCCTGTGCATTGCATTCTTCACGCTGGAGTACCTGCTACGCTTGGTCTCTACCCCAGATCTGCGCCGCTTTGCCAGCAGCGCCCTCAATGCAGTAGACCTCATTGCCATCCTGCCCCTCTACCTGCAGCTACTGCTTGAATGTTTTGCTGATGACGACCAGCCCCGAGGTCGGGGCTCTCAACACGAGCACGACATCGAGAAGGTGGGACGGGTGGGCAAGGTGGGACAAGTGCTTCGCATCATGCGCCTCATGCGCATCTTCCGCATCCTCAAGCTGGCCCGCCACTCCACAGGGCTGCGTGCCTTTGGCTTTACCTTGCGCCAGTGCTACCAGCAGGTGGGCTGCCTTTTGCTCTTCATTGCCATGGGCATCTTCGCCTTCTCTGCCATGGTCTACACAGTGGAGCACGATGTCTCCAGTACCAACTTCACCAGCATCCCCCATCCCTGGTGGTGGGCTGCCGTAAGTAAACACATCTCACCTTGCTGAGTAGCCAGAGACCCTCCCTCCCTTCCCCTCCCCTTCCTTGTTAGAGTCGCTGGTAGTCTTGAAAACAGCAGGCTCAGATCAGTGAACATCTGCTCTAAATTCTGAGCTTACAGGACATATGCACTCACTCACGCACACACACGCTTCCACACATTCATCTCTGTTCTAAGCTTAAATCAGGGCTTAATCAGGCAGACAGTGTTGAAATTCCCATCTGACCAAATGCAGATAGCACTTGCACTTTTAAAGAAGTGGGCAAAGAGACAGGAAAGAAAAGCATTTCCCCATTTAATCCCATTGTCAGTGTTGCCGAGAAAAAAAAAGAAAAAGAAAAAGGCTTGCTTCAGGCCAGCTGGGTTCAGGTGGGCACAGGATTTTCATTCCTGTTCTTTTTGCAGATCTATTGTGACCCGTTGCAAGATGGAAAGACGTAGTTTATTAAATATAGGCTGGTCACTCAAACTTGCATAGCTAAAGCTGTCCCAGAGCTCCGGCTGCTGAAAATGCATTAGGACCAAGAGTTGTTTTACACAAGAGATTGTGTTCTGTTCCTTAGTTGGCACATCTAAGGCTCATGTCTGCGCACACTCTAAACTTTGGTGGTTATTTATACCGAGCCAGACTTGCAGAGGAATAAACACAAAAAGGAGCAGAATGGCTCAAGGGGTTGATAATGGGATAAACTGCCTTCTACATCTAGGTCACTGGTTTGAATCCCACATCAGTCAGTACTGAGAGCTGGTTAACGTCACCTTGAATCTTATTTTGCAACCTTTGCCAGAAAGTGTGTGATTTTAGTCCCATCCCAAACACTTGGAGTGAGGGCAACTGGCTGAGCTTCAGGTGAAAAGCTTTAGAAATGAAGAGAGAATGACCTCGTTTCTAGAGACTGCCACAGGGTTAGTGCTCTAAGGCATTTGGGCAAGTCTCCTTGACAGGTCTGAATGATTGCTGACCTGTACTATACTGTGTCATGCGCAGAGGTGTTTTTGAGGCAGCATTTTCCAGGCTGTTTCATTCGCATCTTTCAGGGGCACGAAGATTTAGCCGGTAACAGAGAGCTGTGAGAGTTTAAAGTTCTCCACCTTGTTTAAATGCCTCCTGGCTGTGGCAATGTCCTGGCAGAACTGTTCCAGTGTCCGAAACTCAGAATTCAACTCTAAAGGGTTTGAGAAGCTGTTCAACTCCAGACCTGGATTGCATTAACACTCAAGGATGGACATACATTTACTTACAGAAGGCTAACCAATACTTCTCAAACTAATGTAAAAACAAAACCATGGTTACACCCTTCAAGGTGAGCTGTGAAGAAAATAGGAACACTTCTGGGTCTATCAAGACTAGCAGACAATGGAGAGGGAGATGCAGGCTGTAAGCAAATGCTTAACAGATAATATTCATGTGCAAGTATGGCTGTTTCAGAATTATAATTTTTACCGAAATGTTTTAGCAGGGAGGTGGGTAGTTTTATCAAGGGCATTGGGGAGAGGGGGAAGTTGATCCCTGCCTGTACTGCTGCCTGCAGCCTTTCAGAGCTGGAAAACAGCAGCTCTGTTATGCTGCCGAAGATGTGTATATCTATAGCAGTCTGGATCAAATCAGAGGGTGGGCAGAGGAGCCCATAGCTTGGCTGTCCATAACTCTAAGGCTTTTTCTAGTCTGTCATCACGTACCCGTCGTTTTCCAGCACCTGATGCTAGCCACCATAATCCATGTTTATGGCAGGGCCCTAGGACCACTTCTGACCTCCTGGATCTGGCTGTGTCCCAGTCACTTCCCTGGATAAGGAAGCCCATGTAAATGGGCTGGAAAGGAGTCAGAAGATCTTCCCATGCTGGTTGATCAGCGTAGGCACTGGAGGCACCAAGCTGCATATGGAACCCACAAGATAGCAACCCCAACCCATCCAAGGCTGCTTCTTCTGGCCAGCAGTCCTGGAAGCCCATGGCCTGCATTTCTGGTTCAGCAACTGCTGATGAGACGTGGTGGCTTCCCATACATATGTTTGTAGTGATTCAGTGCATGCCAGATAACCCGGCCCTACAGACACATTTTATAGACTTTTTTCTATATATACATAGACTTTTTTATATATACATGCATGCGTACATGTGCTGAATACCCTTTCAGCTGGGGCGTGGGAAAGAGGGAAAAAACAGTGAATAAAGGAAAGGGTCCCATAACATGACCTTCACAGGTCATCTTTAAGTGATATACACAGGTTATGAAAAAATTCATACTTCATACGCTACTAGAATAAGGACATTAGCCTTATATGTTGTTTTCTGAACATGCAGGATATATGCAAAAACTTCAGGGCTCATTTCTTCAAGCTGGTGACACCGTAATCATTTAGATACTCCTAAGAAACCTATATGACTATGACTACATGAAAAAAGCCTATTTAGCTGAGTGAGTGTCTCCAAAAGAGGATCTGTAGCATGCACATTGCAATTCCAAGGCATAAAACTCTTTTAAAGCCTATTCCTTCTTTAAGGGTGAAAATTAAGTTACCTGGATCACTCAAATTTCATTAAAATCCAACAGCGTTCACAGTCTTACGCACAGAGGCGAAGTATCTCTCCCAAACGGTCACAGACGACGTAGAAGACTATGCCAGTGGAACAGAACCTTATCACAGGATAATGGTTTTGTCCTGGCTAGTAGAGATAAACATCTTGCCTTCATCTCAGTATTTATTTTTGGAGATATTTATCCTGTATTATCATTCAAATCCAGTGACTTAATTTCCATTAAACCAAGTGACTAATCCTTTTTATTCCACAGGAAGCACCAGGTGCATCCTACAAATGTGCTTACCCAGTGCTGCCTTTTGTACCCTAATGCTTTCTTCATTTGAAACAACATTTTATTTAGCATGTTAGAGGACGACAGGCTGCACACCGTGACCTTCCAAAGACTTATTTCAGTGCTAGAGCTACAAAGGCATTACAGTGAAAGTCCTACTGCCTGTGGTTTATTTCTGCCAAAGTTTTAGATTGCTGTTTCACGTTGAGATACTGTGAAAAAAATTAAATACAGTTCATTGTCTGAAAAAGATCCCTTGCACAGACTAGGAAGTGCCAGATGGCAAAAGTCTGCAAGTTTTACCTGCCAGAGAAAAATGAGTCATATTTACTAAATGTACAAATTATAAACCATCAAGATGTGTGCAGTGGAAGTATATAAATTAGGAGTTATTTTATGCTGAATGTTTGGAAGTACATAATTCATATGTAGCATCCCCATAAGCAAACATCCATGAACTTTTGAACCTAAATTTTACAAAGAAAATATTGCAGTACTTGGTATAGTACTGGCTCCATATAAAACACAGTTCCTTCACATATCCATAGGCTAAAAAGCAAATGCTGACGGTGGGAAGAAAAAGTTTGGTAAAACTAGGTAGACAATGTGATGGCAAAATGTACAGGTTCATATAAAGTGGATATACTATACACCAATACTCCCACAAAAATAAATTAAAAAAATAAAATAATAATAATAATAAAAAAAAAAAAACAAACAAAAAAATCCCACAAATCTGGTGGTGGTAGGATGGGAGCTTGGAGACGTTCCCCAGCACGTGTCCTTTCCCCCCGTGGAGCCTGTGCCTTGCTGAACGGGGTCAGTGTGCGGCCCCGGGGGTTGCTGTGGGTCGGTGGATGCTTTCCAAATCCTCCTCCTCCTTCCTCAACCTTCTCCGCCGCTGTCCCCCGAGGCTGCGCGGGATGCAATCGGGGATACGGGAGTGAGTGTCTCCAAAAGAGGATCTGTAGCATGCACATTGCAATTCCAAGGCATAAAACTCTTTTAAAGCCTATTCCTTCTTTAAGGGTGAAAATTAAGTTACCTGGATCACTCAAATTTCATTAAAATCCAACAGCGTTCACAGTCTTACGCACAGAGGCGAAGTATCTCTCCCAAACGGTCACAGACGACGTAGAAGACTATGCCAGTGGAACAGAACCTTATCACAGGATAATGGTTTTGTCCTGGCTAGTAGAGATAAACATCTTGCCTTCATCTCAGTATTTATTTTTGGAGATATTTATCCTGTATTATCATTCAAATCCAGTGACTTAATTTCCATTAAACCAAGTGACTAATCCTTTTTATTCCACAGGAAGCACCAGGTGCATCCTACAAATGTGCTTACCCAGTGCTGCCTTTTGTACCCTAATGCTTTCTTCATTTGAAACAACATTTTATTTAGCATGTTAGAGGACGACAGGCTGCACACCGTGACCTTCCAAAGACTTATTTCAGTGCTAGAGCTACAAAGGCATTACAGTGAAAGTCCTACTGCCTGTGGTTTATTTCTGCCAAAGTTTTAGATTGCTGTTTCACGTTGAGATACTGTGAAAAAAATTAAATACAGTTCATTGTCTGAAAAAGATCCCTTGCACAGACTAGGAAGTGCCAGATGGCAAAAGTCTGCAAGTTTTACCTGCCAGAGAAAAATGAGTCATATTTACTAAATGTACAAATTATAAACCATCAAGATGTGTGCAGTGGAAGTATATAAATTAGGAGTTATTTTATGCTGAATGTTTGGAAGTACATAATTCATATGTAGCATCCCCATAAGCAAACATCCATGAACTTTTGAACCTAAATTTTACAAAGAAAATATTGCAGTACTTGGTATAGTACTGGCTCCATATAAAACACAGTTCCTTCACATATCCATAGGCTAAAAAGCAAATGCTGACGGTGGGAAGAAAAAGTTTGGTAAAACTAGGTAGACAATGTGATGGCAAAATGTACAGGTTCATATAAAGTGGATATACTATACACCAATACTCCCACAAAAATAAATTAAAAAAATAAAATAATAATAATAATAAAAAAAAAAAAACAAACAAAAAAATCCCATGTTTTAAACAACTCCCAAAGCCTTCTTCAAAGGGGAACTCAGCAAAAATTTCCCATCTGTGTACCTGTCAGCTAAAACAAGCAGGAATATTCCTTACTGAAGGCACACATACACCTTACTTTTGTAACCTCTGACATACAGCTGAGCCAGAAAATCAAACAATTTAGCACTATAAACATATATGTTGCGAGCCTACACTACAAGCTACAACTTACAGGCAACAGAGAACGACATTTGTTTTTTCTACAGCTCCTTGCAGGTATGTAACAATTAATGGGGATTTTAAGTAGAAACTTACATAGAAAATTCTCTAGAAAGTCCTGGGTCACTTCTTCCTATAGTGCAAACATTATAAAAATATATTTCACAATTAGCTGAAGCTTTTCATGTGTTTTTCATTAGTTCATAAAACATATGTGACAACCAAAGGTAATACTCAAAATACCCTCTGAATAAGTCCCCAGTTACCGGGTTTTATGAGCACACTGGATTTAGACACAGGGCATCTGTTCCAAGTGACAGGATGAGGGAGCGGGGCTGCAGTTATGGCTGGATTTGCGCAGTCAGTGAGCCATCTCTATCCACTGACCACAGCCGAGCAAACCCACCTTCTGGACAGACTGGTGTGGAAATTGTTTGGAAATTCCCTCTGCAGGACAAAGCTTTTAAAAATCCCGCTGAATGCTGTCAAACTGCACTGTTGTCTTTCTTTACTGCATGAGAGGGACTTTATTTAGTTAGGGATTTTTGCATAAGATGGATGCTACAGAAAAGAAGGCAGCAGAGAGTATTTCAGAGTTATGATGCAAAGTGCAAAGATGCTGACTTTAAAATTGTCCCTGATCCCTGAATGTATCTGTTTGTATGCTTTTTCTCAGCTAATAAGCTGAATGTTGGTTTGCCTGTAGGTCAGCATCTCTACAGTGGGATACGGAGACATGTGTCCAGAAACTCACCTTGGCCGCCTATTTGCTTTCCTCTGCATTGCGTTTGGAATAATCCTGAATGGCATGCCCATCTCCATTCTCTACAACAAATTCTCAGACTATTACAGCAAGCTGAAGGCCTATGAGTACACGGCTCTCAAGAAAGAAAGAGGGAAGGTGGACTTCACACGGAGAGCCATGAAGAAACTATCTGAATGCTGTGGAGAAGGTGCAACCCACCCTCTGTCACAGCACTGATACAGTTTGTGCTTTGGATACTGGGATGGAACAGAGAAGCCGAAGGAGAAAGAAGAAAAACTGATCAGTCAAGCTAACTGAAGATTAACTGAAAAGGCCAAAAATAACAAAAGTAGACGGTGAAATCTGTTTTGAAAGGGGTTGTTGTCAAAAGAAAAAAGGTTCAGATTACAACTTTTTTTTTTTTTTTGGCTTTGCTAGGCTGGGAGCAGCAGTTAAGTGCTAATCAACTATCTGAAATTACATTCTTCAGATTAACGACCCAGAAACTCTGAATTAGACCCACATGAAGATGTAACCTTCTGCTACTGATTAGACCCACAACAAAGACCCACCATAATCGAACCAAAGCAAAACAAATTGCTGCCATTAAGAGTCAGCCACCTCACTACTGTCAAGGCAGTCTCAAAAATTAAACAAATAGAATACCTGATATACTGACTGCATTGCTGAAATTGGGTTTGTACCAGTTTTCAAAACCAGGAAAACAGCCTAGAGCGCTTACCTGAATATTAGCAGCATCTATACTCCTTAAGCTTCCAGCTTCTGTTTCCACTGTCAGACAGCTATGCTTCACTGTTCCAATTTTATTTTTCAAATGCAGCCCTGCAAATGATTCCCATTTTCATACCTAGGCAAGCAATACCCTTGCTTTTAGTATTTCCCCTACCACCAGCTCCATAAACATCTTTTGTTATGCCAAGAACTAGTGAAGAAGTCTGGAGTCTGAGTTGATAAATGTCATTGATCAATTTTGAAAACATTTCCAAACCAAAACCTTCTTTAGGTATAGGATTAAGTGATAAACCAAGTATGTTTTACAACATTTAATGTATCTACTTATTGAATTGTTAGAATAATAATAGGCTTGTCATGGGACGTAAGTGTTAAAGCAGCATTTAAAAAAAATAATCAAATGAAACATGTAATGGATAATATGTCATAAAGACTTTTCACACAAAGGATCTTATCAGTACTTATCTGTAACCAATTTTAAATATAATTTAAAGTCAAGATACTCTGTCTAGTGGATACAGCCATTAAGGACACAATTCTAACACCTTAGCTCACCCGCAGTAGTACCTCACTTCCTAAGATTACTGAGCCTTCTTGCACAGCTGGATGTAATTACTCATGCATCGGAAACTCACTACAAAACCTACACAACAAATAACAACAGCAACATCAACAACAATTAAATGGAATCAGAGTTTCACACATTAGTTTGCAGCACATCAGGAGTATTCTTTTTATGTAAAAGCAGTCATATCAGTTTAGAAATAGTAACCTGAAAAACAGATCTGCAGGAATAGTTATTTTACTGATACTCAGCTAAAAATAGAGTAAAAAAAAGGGTAACAAAAAGAAGCAATGGTAACAGTCACTGACACGACCCATGGCTGTTACTCAGCAGCACTCTTTCTGCACAACAGCCTGATGGCAGACACGTGTTTTAAAATTCTTGAACTCTCACGTTGTGTCTGCGTTGCTCCACTGAATGCAAATGGCTGCATTCAAATCTCACAGCCACGCTGAAGACAATGGTGTGAAGCTCGCTCTTGGGACAGCTAAGGGTGAAAAAGTTCATTAGTTTTGCCATGTCCGTGCAAATTGTGTCAAGCATAGGGACATTTCTCTTTTCAATAGTGAGAAGGTAATTAGTAACCAAGTTGCTCTTCTCATTCTCTACCTCCAGACAAACGTATCATAAGCCCATCTGTCATCTTGTTCTTTAGGAATGACAGTCAGCACATTGTGTGCTGATCAGTGCTGTTAAAAGCCAAACCATGTCTTTAAGGCACAGCTGAGCCCTGGGAGTTGAACGTGATAGATGTTTGCTGTTCTGGACTGCACACAATGCAGCAGGCACAATCCTGGCACTCTGAGAAGAATAGCTGCTTTACTTTGGCTCTAGGGATGATATGAATTTGCATGGCCCTTCTGCACAGCAACAACGGGACGAGGACCTTCCTGAAGCCATAGGAAGCCCCTCTCTTACACCCCCACTGCAGTCCAGTGAGGTGGCAGGTTACAAGCGTGCAAAAACACAACTGTGCTTTACTTTCAACACGCAGCTTGGGTTAGATCCATTAAAAGGACTTAAATGTTGGTGACTACCCAACTTTCCAAGATATGGGACACCCTAAATAAATTTCCTTGTCTGAAGTCAGAGTCAGTACTTGCATATATCATGCAGATGGGCTGCAGATGCTCAGCCTTGCATGGCAAGCTCAGCAGCTTCTTGCCACCTAGACAAATGCAGAGCCTGAGCACTTACTCTGCTGAGGCCGGACTTACCCATCACCTCAGACTTGACACAAATCACCAGCCTCGTTTTCCACCCCACTTGCCTCACGTGCAGCATCCATTCAAGCAGACGTTTTTCAAGACATGTAAGGCAACAGGCTTTCCACACAAAACATGAGAATGAGAGAAAGGACTGTTTTCTCTTTTAATGAGGAGTCAGAATTGAATGTCCTCAGCAAGTGTTTTCTTATGTGTCCAAAAAGATTTTAATGCATAAGTCCCATAGTACTGCTCTAACCATGCAAATACAGCTTGGAGTGGGCCTCTCCCACCCTTCCAGCTGAAGCTGTTCTACTTTGCAGTGAGTAAATAATGACCCACCAGGTGACAGTAAAAGGAACTCTGCACAGCTCCGTGTTTGCAGCACTTGGCTGGGTGGAAAGGAGTGGGTCACAAGCCCTGCTTCAATAAAGAGCTATGGAAGCGCCCTGATGAAGCAGCAAAACCTTCCCAAAGGCTCATTCTCCTCTGGCCCAAGCCATTTTTGGTTGAAGGATTTAATCTGGAAGGACTCCAGAGTCAGTCCCTGCATACTGCAGCCACACAAAGGCAAAACTCATGCTTAAGAGTACCCAACAGGCTAACAGCCATAGGCCAAAACACTTCCCAACACGGAGGAGACCAATTTCTGTGCCCTCAGGAGAAGACGACATTGTAACCGGTACCACCAGGTCCCATCTGAGTGCCCTCAACAACGAAGCCATCACAGCTCAGGCAGCTCAGCTTACCTAGTGGCTGCCTCACTCTCTTCTTTCTCAATGCACTTTGCCCTCTCATCCCTCTGCCATCCAGTCCCCACCGTCTCGCTGATGGCAGCTTTGGTACCTTTTTGATTCCTCTTTGCACTGCCTCAACACACAAATGTGACAGTTTGGGAAAGCAGGGTTAGATTCTTGATTGCTTCATGACCTCACTCAATTTAGAGAGCTTTGACTAATGCTAGAGCCGACACAAGGTAGGTGGTAGAAGTGTGCAGTCTGGAGGACAGACCTCTGGCAACTGCCACGTGGAACATTAAGCAGAAGACTACACAAAGTGACTGTTTCTCTGTTTTGTAATTCCTGGATCACCTGCCCTGCTGCATTCAGCAGGTGAATGGGTCCTTAATGGAGCAAGGAATTTTCCAGCAAATTAGAAGTTAGTGGTTGGGCAGGGGGGTTGGGGAGGTGGCAGTGGTGGTTGTGGTGATGTTTGTTTTCTTCTCTGGATTACCTTATGCAGCTTTCTGCTTTTTGGCTTAATTAATCTTATTTTAGGGGTGGTAAGCATAAGTCTGTGCATTTCAACAGGAAAGACTATGCCTAAACTTTGGGTACCAATATACCAGCCAGACATTGCCCCGAATGCCCAAAGCTCTGTCAGTCCCAGCATTTTCTGTGGACGGCTAACTAGCAAGGTCCGCCCACAAGGTCCTCACCCCCTGTGAGATCCTGTCTGAGGCTCATACCATACAAAGAGGACCTCCAGCCAGCTCAGAGGAAGCAAAAAGTTCACATTCCCACAGAAAAAACTTCTGACAACCTGCAGAAGGCTGTGCAAAACTGTACCAGCTGGTTTTGAAATAGGATGCAGCGGTTTTGCCATTTTTTTATTGACACAATGGCTCCTTCTGCCACATCCACTAAGACTTTCAGTGGCATCATCACTGTCCCTAGATTACTCAAATGAAACAGTCAAATGATACACATGATGACATCCAAAAATAATGCAGGACAGCCGTGACTGTCTTGCTTACTGAATGCCACAGGGCTTTGGCAATCAGAAGATTTCAAAATAACTACATCAAGGGAAAATACACTTGAACACAACAAAGATGTGCAATCTATTAAAGCTAAAGTAGATAGGGCTTGGTTTATGAGACATTAATTTGGCATAGCTGAGGTTTTGGGGGAACAGGGTGAAGGATTCTCAAACCACTGAGAAATTAGAAACCTCTCTGAATGTGGCCACGCTAAAACCTTCTATTTTAACTAGTTGCAGAGATTAATGAGCCCCAGAGGGAGAAGGAAAATATGTTCTATCATTATGTTCACTACAGACTTAGCAAACATGTTGTGTCTGGTAGACAAAGAAACAGTCAGTTTATCTGGATGGCCCGGCTTCATTTTAGGACAACTAATTGTTGTTTCTTCTACTCATTTTAGGCCTGGGAATTATTGAAAAAAAATTAAAAGAAAAAAAGAAGGAATAGAAAGAGAGAAAGTGAGAGAAGAGAGAAAAGAGAAAAGAGAGGAAAAGAGAGGAGAGAGGAAAAAGAAAAAAAGGAAAAAAAATAAACAGGGGTGGGTCTGGTAGAAAACTAGAGTCTGCCCTTACATGAGACAGTGGAAAGAATTCCAATTAGAATATGCTTTTGCACAAGTCCTTGTCTTAGAAGAACATCATTTTTTCAATGCAATTCAGCAGCTGTTTGCTTTTCTCATTCAGAAAGATAGCACTTAAAGGGGTAGCTACAGTAAGCCACAGACTAATGGGCATGTGGTACTATTCCCAGGCTTCTAAGCAAAGAGTAATATTCAGTCTTTAAATATGTGTAATTTTAAAGATTATAAACTAGGTATACTTCAAAGTTTTGGGAGAAAAATAATGACCATCAATAAGCCTAGGCAGGAAAAATTGTCTCCTTGTTTAAAAAAATAGCTTCAACTGTTTAGAACATTCTGGTTTTGTTATGTAAAAATGTTTGATTCATG